ATTTGAAGAGCTGATAGTACTGACATATGAGGAAGGGATAAAATAGATCCTCCATGGGAATCCCTATAAGGCTGAAATTAGCTAGCCACTCTAACAATCATCTACAAAGTCCTGACTTGTTCTTCTAACTGTACTTTTGTCATATTCAAAAGTTTAAAAGCAGTATCAAGTTAATAACACAGCTTTTATCGACGCCATTTTTTCAGTGACAGGAGGTTCATATATAAACTAGACTTTGAACTATAAAAGAAATGATCTGACAATACGCAAACAAGGCCGTATTTCTACGCCATTTACACATAAGAAGAATCGTCTTAGGAAATCATGGAAATATGGGAGAAAAGAGATTTATTGTCAGTATTATCCTGTGCATGCGTCGGTGGCATAGCGGTTAGGACGCTCGTCGACCATGCATATGGTCCGAGGTTCAATCTCCGGCCACCGACTCACTCCTTTACCTTGCTAATTCAGAAGTAATGCTGGTAAAGTAGAAAGGTTAGGCATGAGGCTGGCAACCCCATTCTGCAAAATAAACTCTGTTACAGAAACTTCAAGCCACTAGCGTGAGGTCCTATGTTCCACTGAGGAACCTGAATGAAAGAAAAAATTATCCTATGCAGTTGATTGCGTAATTTCCTTAAAGAAGATTCGAAACTTGGCGAGTCACAAAAAATATTTCCAACAGTCTGCTAGAGACCTTCATCAACAACCGTCTTCGCTCTATACTCAAGATCAGATGGCCGGGCTGGAAAGAATCACCAACAAACAAACGAAACAAGAACCAATCGCCAGCCAACAAATATGCAGGAGAAAATGGAAATGGATGGAGACAGACACTGGCTGAGGAGGCCGCTGAGTGACATCGCACGCGCGTCAGGCCATTGTTCGAGTGGAACTCGACAGAATGAGAAGTGGCGAGTAGGGCGTCAGTGCAAGGGTGACATGGAGGAGATCGTGTGAAGAGGAGTTGAAAGAGTATGGACTAACATGAATGCAGGTAAAAAAAAGTACAGGAGAAGACGGAAGCAAGTGGAGACGTGCAGTTGAAGCCCTATGTTCCACTAGGAACCCAAGGGAACAATAATCATATAACAATAATAATAATAATCAAATTGTTGCGTGAAATTTAAAATATACGCACTTCGATCGGTAAATTTTCACCACAGATCACAGTATGTGATCTACTTGATGCATAAATAATAATAATTTAGAAACTATGTACTACTGATTGGTGGGAATGAGTAGTTGTGCACCACTCACAACAATATTTAGTGCTTGCTAGGCAAATTGTAGGGATCTAAAGACCAGACAGCAGCTACCATGACTCCATGACTTCATTTTAGACAAATCTCAATGAATGAAAATATGCCATAAATTTGTTTACATTGAATAGCACGGCCAACAAGTCGATTCTAAAGTGATGCTTTGTCGTATCCTTTTCACTATACCTTTATGCTATTAAATCTTTATTTATTACTGGAAATAAACCATTAGCACATCTGAAGTGATATTTTATGTTGTTTTTAGATTTTCAAATAGATTTTTGTTTTCATTTTTTGTCTGACTGCATATCTGATATTCGATAAACAGCGATTAATTTTTATGAATTTGATTTTGTAAGGATTTGATTTGTTTCGAAGTTTCATCACGGATTGATGTCATTCGAATGGAGAGTACTGGAAAGCTGTTTCGTCCTACTTCGGATTTCTACAGCAGTACACATCACAGTAGGATTCCAACCCAGGACCACCCGGTGACAAGGCGAGCTTGAAGAAAACATTCAGCCACCGGGACACGATCCATGGGTCTATTAATTCCAGCTTCTATCATTTCGTGATTTTAGCATAATCAGTAAACATAACTAAATCATGGAAGTTATGGTGATACTCGTAAGTGGCTGACTACAGGACAAAGTTTTCATGAGTTCCAGTAAGAAGTCGTGACCAGTCGAATCCAGCATGTTAGGAGTGTTGATAAATATGCGCCGAGACATTGGCCTATGGTCGTACTGAAAAAACACAAAGTGGTAGAAGTATGGAAATCATAAGTTATTTTATTGGATCTCAGTGCCTAAAATAAGTTGGTGGTGCATTTGGCTCGTGAGTCACACAGAAGGGAGAAAATATGAGTTCGACAGTCTACTGCTACCCGCCATCAATTAAGTGAGAACAAGTTTCAACAAAACTGAAAATAATTGAATATCAAGTATTCAAGTGTTGGTTTGTAGGGATTTGATTGGTTACAGGATTTCATCATGAGATGACACCAGTTAGAGAACCATTGGGAAACCAGCTGGAAGTGCTGGAAAGCTGTTTCGTCAGCCCACTTTGTGACTCTTCATCAGTACTCACCCACCACCAGGATTCGAAACCAGGACCTTCTGGTTACAAGGCGAGCTAGCTCTTAGATCATTAGGCCACTGGGACCCGATCCAATGGCTAGTCCATGAATTCCAACTCCTGCCGGATTACGATATGGCGCGACCCCTAGCTTCGCATAAAGTTGAAGAAGTTGAATCACCTACAAAACCCATACATTTATAAATTACTGGCGTTTAAAACCAGTCTTCCTTAACTAAACAAAGTATGTTATGCATAAAAGGTAGATAGAAAGTAAGGCTGACAGCCTTCAAATCTGAGTACACACTTAGTAAAGTTGTAAGTATTTAGGGTGATTCTACTTCATACATAACAAATTAGGTGGTTTATGTAGAATAAATTGACTGACATTGTCTAATTGACTCAATGGAAGTTTATACAACCACTATTATTATTTCCTCTAATTCCTTAAGGAACATAGAGCTTATGCCGCGCGTCTCCATTGCGTTCGGTTCTCTGCTATAGCCTAGTAGGGTGATGAAAGCTTCGCGAATTAAACATACAGCTCAGAGAACACAACCACAGCAAGAATGAACAATAATAGGTCAGGGATAATTCAAGTTTTAGTTCATACAATTACTTAATATCACTACCACCATTTAAAAATGTTTCATATGCTTGAAACTTGTAAAACGTTTCTTCAAAAGTCACACTTATAAGTCATAAAAATATTTACACAAAAGCATACATGTCCCAAACAATATCTGCTTTGTTTCTCGCATAACAGTCTCTCGTGCATACCCTGCTATTCTTACTTACCTCATATTTTATACACTTTACTCCCAGATGCTACTGTTTTCCTAATTTACAGGTAGGCTGTGGTTTTTAGATGGGCTATTTGGGTGGGTGGGCGTATCTTGGTATTGCGTACTGACTTCGGTGTGACGTTTTTCTTGCAGACACTAGTGTCTAACCACCCTAGTGTCCTGTTTCCTTTTTAACTTTGATATTTAGCATTCACAACTTGGTTTCTGGATTGGTTTTCACCGTGTATTTATACGTTCGTGTTTTGACCTATCCCTATATTTGATTTCACTCTAAACAATGAATTTTATTCATAACATTAGCCATATATGCGTGTAAAACTTGAGCACTGTGGTAGGAAGTAATTCTTTATATTAGTTCGTTTATTAGATGTATCACACAGTGTTTAAACAGTATTATTTACTGGATGACACAGTTTCGACGTACTATTCTTATTATTATCATTATGATGACATGCATGTCAAACATCCTCAAGGTAAATAGAACTCAAACAATAGGGAATGTAAACCATCAGTAGTAATTCCATACAAGGAAGGAACCTCAGAAAACTTACTCAGAATTCCTAACAAGGCAGGCAGAATAAAAGTGGCTGGAATTCAAACCAGACACAAACTCAATTAGAAACAAGCTTGGTCGGTTAAAGGATCAGTCCTGTAGAGCCAATTAAACAAAACAATTTAGCCTATCTGATACCCTCCCTGCAATGATTGTCAGGTCAAATATATAGGTCAAACTAGAAGAACAGGTACAGTCAGACTAACCCAGCACAAAATCCCAGCAGAATATGGATTGGTTGACCCAATAAGATAACAAATCTGGAGAATAGCTCAGCTAAAGCACTCACTTCTTGCAATTACACACAAACATACCAATAGGCTGGATGGGATAAGATGACTGTTTTAAAATCTAATGTAGCAGCTGCGTGGAGGGAGAGGTTGGTAACAGCAGCTTTGTTTATCGAATCAACTGCAAACACGTGTAATAAAAATGATTAAACACCTGTCCCAGACGGACGTCTGGAGAATGCAACTACCCCAACGACGACAAATAGGAGAGAACAAAACTGAAGTTTCAAAGTCATGTGTTTATAATTCATACGTTTATAAACCGCAATAAATTTTGTTCACTGTGTGAAACATCTAATAAACAAACTAATAGGATAAACATTACCCAATTGTTTTTATTATCATTATTATTTATAATAAAAGTTAGAAATGATATTTCCCGCTTTTTAAAATACACGAAAAGTCAGGCCATACAGTTCGATTGTGTGCAGCGACATATTTAGCGACGATAAGTATTAGTGAAATAATTTTAACAACTGACTCTGTGCATAGAAGCTGACATTAAAAATTCATTTTGTAGCTTAATTTGCTGATGAACTCAACCTATCAAACGAGATAAACCGCCGTCTTGTGTTCAGATCACTTCAATCTGTTTAGCAAGCACTACTGCTTGATGCTCCTCGATTGTATAGTAATGAGTGTCTCCACCTGTCACGTGGAGGCCCAGGTTTGATTCCTGGTCAAGGAGCTGGCTTTTTGCGTCGGTGGCATAGCGGTTAGAACGCTCGCCGACCATGTACATGGTCCGGGGTGCGATTCCCGGCTACCAACGCACTCATTTGCCTCTCTGAGCCAGAAATACTGCTGGTAAAGCTGAAAGGTTGGGTATGAGGCTAGCAACCTCATCCTGTAAAATTAAATACTGCTACAGAAACTTGAAACCACTAGGTTGAGGCCCTATGTTACACTGGGGAACGTGAAGGAAGAAACAGCTGCTGGATGATACTGGTGTACAGCTACTCGTCTAAATTAACCAGTAGTATGTACTTTTAGTACAATTAAACAGGCTTACCTGGATTATCTTTGTACTAGTTGGCGCATTTTCAATTATTTCTGCCTCATACTGCTGTTTCTCAAAGATTGGCGCATTGTCATTTTCATCTGCCACATACAGTGTAATAGTCATAGTAGCTGTAAGTCCAGTTAACGATGATGACGATACAGAAAATGATGATTCAGATGATGAGGCTGCAGAAACACCATCCCAACAATATAAAATACTGTGGTATTCAACCATTCCACTCTCCCGATCATATTCAGCTTGACTGTAGAGTGTATACCGTTGATATACATGCGTCTCAGAACTTGATTGTAACAGTGAAGTTTTCAGGTGACTACTGACATCAAATTGTGATGGCGCTAGTGACGGAAAGAACTTGTCAGTTATATAAGTAGATTCTCTCACAAAGAGTATAGGTTGTTTTGTTTCAACATTGGAGGGTTCTTTACACTGTACTTGCCCATTGATTTCTGGGCTATCGCGATCAATTACGAGGAGCTAGATTTTAAGAGCAGGTGAAATAAAAGTCAGAATTATTATTACATGAAGAAACCCTATAATATGATATAATATAACACAAGTGATACAAGTCTCTGTAACTGAAATCGAAAAGAAATTTTTTTCAGCAATGAATAACCTGGTTTTGAAATCTTAAAAGATTTTGCCAGGAAATATCACTATGTGGCAGAACCATTAAATTACAAGGAGAACTATTTCATCTTAGCATAAAACTCTTTAACAGTTTTCATTTCATTTCCCAATTAGGGAGATTGCTTCAGTCTGACGACTATGTTGTCGGCATTTAGAGAGTTCCTTGAGGATGAACGGATAATGGTGACCGCACTAAACGGTCAGCACAACACTCATACACCCAGACAGACATGGCACAACTTGGTAACTCTTATCGTCAAATCGTCGATGCACTAGAACAGACTCCATGGCTGAAAGCTGTCTCGTTGGTAAGGGATAACAGGAGATTGCTGCTCTTTCTTTAATATGTGCATAGACTCTAATCATGCCCTGATTAGCGCACGTTTATGCCTACGACTGAGGAGACATAAAAACAGACGGTAGTGAAGCCATTAAACCGCCTTCCAAACTTGATCAGAATGTGTCTTTATTTAAGGCAGATCTAACGGTGGTGGTCAAACTAAAACTTGGAATTGTTCCATGAAATTTTCGAAAGTTAGACTGAGCCAAGTAGGAAGGTGTAGACTTTCTGGTTGATGTTCTTAGGATTTCCTTAGAACCAATGACTGGAGAATATCAGTGATACGGCTGAGAAGTGTCCCCACAGCGGTGCAGATGCATTCACTCTCTGTGGTCCCCCATATTCACTGTTATGTATTCTTCAAATTTTTTGTTGATTATAGTCCTTTTGAATATCTTTTTTCCAGTTTTCTGTCTTTCTTTGTGTGCCATGCACAGAATAACAACTGGAAGTTCTGCACTTCTGCGAAACGTTCTGTGTTAAAACTCTTCCAGCCAATCATTCATTTCAGGAACTAAAATAGTTCTTCAAGTATTGGTTTGTAAGGATTTGGTTGACACTAGTTAGAGAACCATTGAAAAACCAGCTAGGAGTGCTGGACAGCTGTTTCGTCAGCCTAGTTTGGGGCTCTTCAGCAGTACACACCCACCAGCAGGGTTCGAATCCACGAACTTCTGGTTACAAGGCGAGCTAGCTCGTATACCATTAAGCCATAGGGCTTCGATCCAATGGCCAGCCCATGAGTTCTAACTTTTGCCAATTCACCATATAGCGCAACCGCTTGCTAAAATTTCTGCAAATAATGTCAACACGTAATGAAATATGGCTTGATATAACCTTCATTTTTAAAAACTCATCATTATGAAACCTTTAATAATAAATGACATACAAATATGTATTTTCTACTTATAAAGAAATGAAAATATTTTAATACATACTATTCAGTACGTCTCTGATTATTTAAAAGGCACAGACAGAATGGTTATCGACAACAATATGTGAATTCATGACATATTTACTTCATCTCGAAACTCATGTTACTGGATATTTTGGTAGTGAGGGATTAGAAGTCCCTTTTTCCATCATTAGCTCTGTGAAGAATCCTGTGGATATAGGTGTAGTTCTCAGTAGAATACTCTCTTGTTATTTACGTCTTCTCATAACCACTCACCAGTATGCAAGTGGTTGTTCAAAATTTGTGTGCCACAGATATATCAGGGGAAGCAAACCTGAAATGAGTTTAATCGGTCTTCCTAACTATAAACAGAAGAAATTTAATGCGAGACCACTACTTCCACTTATTTGGGCAATATGGTTTCAACAACAACTAGCGGAGCGAATCAGGATGTCAGTGATGGCCAAGATCGAGAATGCAAGACAGACATTTACTGGTTTGACATTCAGTACTGTTGTCAAGTCAGTGATTACCTCTTTAAGTTCGAAAAATTAGAGATGACGCGTCACCAAAAACGTATTTCCTCCAGACTACATACCTTTGTTAATAGCTGTCTGTTGCCCTACGCTGAAGATCAGGTGGCCAGCCAGAAAGAATTACGCCAGTATGCAAACTCCAGCAGACAGCAAATCATACAAAGAAACTATTTTTAAAAGAAATATACCGGAAGAAATGAAAATGAACTGGGCAAATGCCGAGTTGACCAATAAATAGCATCATGCGTCTAGCCCGCTTGAGTGGAAAGTGCATAGAAAACAACCAGCCTGACATCTTATAGTGACACTAAAGAAATTACAGAGTTTGTGCAATTGTGAAACAAGCTAAGAGAGGACTGCAGAGAACAGAATGAAATTTAGATGTGCTTGTGAAGTCCTATGTTGTTCCACTCGGAACCCCCTAGGGAATCATCATAATAATAACATCACAAGGAATACTGAAATTGAAGACACTTTTGTAACAATTGCTTTTTTTTATTACAACTTGATTCAACACCGTATTTTTTTCGTACAAGTATGGAATTTTCAGCATGTGTTATTGGTAGCCCAAATTTTGCAGGCCAACCAAAGATATTAGGTATGCGTCGGCAGGGGATCGAACCCCAAACCATATGCATAGTCAGCGAGAGTCCTAAACACTGTGCCACCGGAGTCTACAAGAAGCTCATATCGGTCACTGCAGCATCGGAAGTGTTACTGCCCTGTAATTATAAATTCCCTACTTTAACTGTTCTACTTAAGCAATCTGTTGGTTTTACTCATTACTAGGAAAACTATCCGTTTACCAGAGATACCTGTTTATTGGCATATATTCGTGATCAGTGTTTTTTTTATACCCTCCTTCATCTTGAGAAAGTATTTCACTTAGAGTGAAACATTTCCTAGCTATTCTTAGACGATGAAGTGTTCTCATTGTTTTTAGAAAATCAATTTTTTGAACCAAAAATAAGATGAATTTAACTTGTTTTTATGTATGTCTATCTTGTTGTCATATTTCAGGGTAGATCAGACAAACAGTTGTTTAACAATCACGCAGCAACTTCCTGCGGATGTCAGCTTCTACAATGAATAAGTGATATTTTTACAATTGCGCTATATTTTCATTTCACACAATTCAAATAATTGTTTTAATCAGAGTTCTTTCCAGGTTTTCAAGTAATTAATCCACAAACGTTGTCATGCAGTAAGTAGTCAATGGAAGTCACAAATACAATCATCGCTAGTGAAGCTAAGTACGACCAAATAAAGAGAGGATGGTAAGTAGTTATCAGTGATTAAGACAGCTTGAGCTACTACAAAAATCTAAAAAAAATAACAATTATTTTGGTGATAAAGTACGCTCGACGTGAGTAGTTCTGAAGTTCGGTGGCCTGTGTTTTAACACAGTGGAGATCACCGATTGTTCATTGTCATCATCTGGAAACACCGATTTCAGTAGCTTGAACATGTGCTGCGAATTTCATCGCAGAGGCTTCTGTACAAGCTTTTATTCCCTAGCCCTGGAACAGGATGGAAAAGGCGGATAGGTGATCAGTCCATGATGTAGCGTCCTGGGATGAAGGATATATATGCGTCACGACTCCCTGTTTGAAGACCGAGAGACAGCTCAAATCGATGACCCGAAGCGCTATCGGATATAGCCGAGAATTGCAGTCAGTGGCAAACGTGCTGCAATTTCCTTCTCTCTTCCCTTATTGATGATAGTTAACGATCTGCTTCATGTAACATGTGGAACAAACACCAGCTCGTTGTTTCCCATTCAGGTTCCATTCGAGAGTTAGGCGTGTGATATAAGTCGGCGGTATCCTCACTGTGTGTTCCATCTATCACCATTTTTTTCGTTTTATTTGTTTGGCAATATGGAGGTGGATCGAGCATACATTAAGGAAGCCACCGAATGACATCACGGTCACTGCAGTCCATTACTCGAGTGGAATCTAAACGGGAAGCGACGGGTGGGTCGTCAGTGTGAGACTTACACGGATGAGATAGTGTTAGGAAGAGACGAGAGAGTTTGATCCATTCAAATGAAGACGACGGCAGAAGATCGGAGAAAGTGGAGATGTGTTGTTGAAGCCAGCCCTATGTTCCAATTGGGACGCAAGGCAATAATAAAAGTCACAATTTTGCCAGATTTCCTTGTTGTTTAGCCTTTCCAACCATCTGATCTTCAGCAGTGTTGATAAAAGTCTGAGAGGAAGTTGGAAATGCTTTTAACCACATACTTTCCAAGTTTCTGTACCATCTAGAAACAGTGACTGACTTGACATTAGTGCCGAAGACCAATATCTTGTTCATTTTACTGATTGAAGCAGATCTCTACACTCCTATCATAGGAGATAGATTAAGACATTAAAAATTAAAATAATTGGTACACTAATTAGTCTTAGCGTATTAATGAAAAATACATAAACACTATTTAAGTTTAAACTAGTTGCTGCCTTGTAAGCTGAGACTACGAGTCATCTTTGAGCAGAACATATAAAAGCAGTGCAATTTCCACCTCACCTTCGTCAGCTTTGAAAAAACCTTCAACATTGTCAATGGTGAAGTAATTTGGAAACTACCTCAAGATGAAAGAGTGTCACAGATCATTAGTTACCTAATTCAACGACTATATGACATTGCTACATGTCACGTAAGGGATTTACAACGGAGAATTCAGTAAAGGCTCTGATTTGGAAGCAGGAGTAAGACAAGGCTTGCTGTTATCACAGATGAAACTCCTTATTTCGATGGAATGTACCATGCAAAAGACCATGGGAAGTGAGAAGACGAAAATGCATTAGACCTATGGAAAAAAATGGACCCACTCAAAATCTTGGAGGATCTGGACTTCTCCGATGATATTTGTCTCATTTCCCACAAACTGGAAGATATATAAGTGAAAACTGACAAGCTGGTAGAAGAAGCATCAAAGATAGGACTTCAGGTGAACACAAAGAAAACAGATGTGGTAATGAAGATTCCTGGCCAACACCAACAGCGCGTCATAAAAAGCACTTCATTAACAACTGACTTTGCTAAGTAGTCAAGATCAGATGGGCAGAAAAGATCAGCAACATGGTGGTATCTCTGAGAGTGAACCAACCAGGAACCGATTGTGAAACAAATAGGCAGGAAGAAACGGAGATAGATTGGCTGGCCCTACTCTGAGGAAACCATCAAATGACATCACTAGACAAACCATCGCCTGGAGTGGAACCTGAAAGCGAATCGGCAAGTTGGTCGTCCAGGGCTAGGGTGGCTTTGATGAGGTCATGTGAGGAGGAGATGAAAGCATGTGGGCAGACTTGCAGCTAGGTGAAAAGGTCGGCAGAGAACTGAACGCAATGGGGACGCGTGGCTGAAGCCCTATGTTCCTCTAGGAATTAAAAGAAACTATAATAATAATAATAATAATGGAAAAAAAGCCATGGAAAATTTGAAATGCGTGCATGATTCCTCTCTAATTCCATATAAACTCGAAGACTACAAGCAAAAACGAGCAACTTGGTAGAACCGGCAGACAACGAAAATAGCACCTCAAGCGTACATATAGACAAAACGGCGGTGGTGAAAACAACAAATCATCAACAGGAAGCAAGCATCAATGTTAACAGCGAGAAATTGAAGGAAATCACCTCCTTCGTTTATCATGGTGGCATCGTTTTAGACACTGGTGGTGGCGTGGATCAGGATAGGAAAGTCAACCGGGATCAAAAATGCAATGCAAACTTTCATCCTTCTGAAATCGGTTTTGAAAAATTCTGTACTCAGAGTAAAGTACAAAATTCGGATTTTCAAAACCAGTTTTAATTCAGTTCTTTTATGTGGATCAGAAACTTGACGCATCAAGAAAAGAATTTACAACAAGCTTCAAGCTTAATCATCAGCTGTCTTTGATCTCTAGTGAAGATTGGAGGCCAAAAAGAAAACGGGAACAAAAACTCAATGAACGAATCAATCAATAAAAATGAGGTGGGTTGGATACAAGCTGAAGAGGCTACTGACTGACATCTCGCTCCTGGTCATAGCTCCAGAAAATTGAAAATGAAAACGAACAGATGGGTGTCAGTTCAAGGATGATATATTGAAGGTCGCGTGAGAAGAAAGCGAATGCCTATAGGCAATCCGACAGACAGCTAAAAAAGACTATACAGCAAAGGACATAATGGAGGTGGTCTGTTGAAGCTCAATATTCTATTTGGAAACATAGGGTACAGTAATAACTTATAGCATTAACGAAAACTAAATCAAAACAGTATACTCAAAAAAAGTCTTACCTGACCAATTAATGTTCTTGCAGGTTTATTTTCTTGTATCGTCAATCGATGCGGATTTAATACATACTCCGGAGGTTCATCATTCACATCTATAACTTCAATAATAAGTCTAGCTAGAGCATAGAATTCTCCATCACTAGCGCGCACAGTGAAGCTATAGGAGCTACTTTGTTCATAATCCAATCTATCAGCCACAGTCACTCGGCCATTTGTTTCAACTTTAAATTTTGATGTAACATTTGAATCAGCTTTATTTTCCAATGAATATGTGATTGTTGAATTCACATCATTGTCAGTAGCTAGTAACTGTAAATTTTTAAAAAACAAAGTAATGATTTGTAAAAAGTAATATCATAGTGGGGGTGTTTTAAAACAAGTTTATAATGAATAAGTGCGTCGGTGGCACCGCGGTCAGGACGTTTGCCGACCACGCACATGGTCCATGGTTCGATCCTCAGCCACCGGCAAACCTCTTTACCTCGCTAAGCCAAAAATAAAGCTGGCAAAGAGTAAAGAGTGAGCATGAGGTTAGCAACCCCATCCTGTAAAATTAAACACTGCTACAGAAACTTCAAGCCACTAGCTTGCAGGTGCCCCATGTTCCACTGGGAACGTGAATGAATAAGAATGAATAAGAAGCATTTAAAAACCTATTCACACCTAAAAAGCGAAGAGCCTCTATATCCTTTGTGAAAAAAAAAACACTGGATTCTGAAAACATGGGCCTTAAACTACAAACCAGTAAGGCAGGTAGTAAAATAGCCTGTTGCTACCAAAAAAAAGTATTGTGGTCTGATCATGGAAACTAAATCCTCGTGTTCTATTGTATAGCTTGTGGTGGCTGGAAAATATCAAATTATACGTACACTGTAAAATGGTAAAATAATAAAATTCACAGAAAATCATGGTTGCTACGTGAGATTGAAAAAGGACACTACCTAGTTCCGCGAACAATACGAACGAAACTTCTTCCCTCTCCAGCTTCTTGCTTTCCACATCTGTCAGCCAACTCTGCCTTGTAGCCTATCGGTACATCCACATTAGGATCCTTTACTCCAAGCTACGTTTCTCTCTGCAAGTGTCCTCTGGCCGTTGTCACCTCTTACGTGTAGTGAGCTTCTGTATATCCAAGAAAAGGACTACTTCATCCCTGCAATTCTGTACGTCTATATTTGAGTCTCGAAGTGCCCGGACTATAGCAAAAAGACAGTTACCTGAGATATAAACTGGAGTATATACAACATATCAAAACTCAAAATTACCTCGAAAATGCTGTCAGACAGCTTATGGATCCACTAATTTCTCTAATACGAAACACGTACTGTAGAACAAAATTAGTTAAACAAAATCAACCATAAGAAGAACCTGAGAATCCAGAATCACACTCTCAAAGACGAGGGATCAGCAAGAATCACAAACTGAAAAATTCCTACAAACAGTCAAAAGTCAAAATCCTTCAAGGTAATCGTTGATATCATTCAAAAGCATTGCCGATATCATCGCACAACAACAAAGCAAAGCTAATATGTGGATGGTCATTGGCAGTGAAATCCAGGATAACACGCATTTCGTCCTATTTAGGACTTGTGGTCATCTGGATATGCTTGCATTCCCAGTGAGTGGTGATGATATTCCCACCGAAGCTCGTACCTAGTGCTCTTAGTTTCAAAAACCAAAGCGTTATCCACTAAACCACTTGGAGCGCGAGAGCTGGCAACCTCTTGTGCAACCAGTAATATTAATTAATTATTCAATTAAATTTTAGATTTTCTCGTCAATTGATTGGACCGAAGAGCACATGGGAGTTATCCTGGATTCCACTGCTGGTCACCATTCACCAATTAAAATCTGATTACATGCCCAGACATCGTCGAAGCATCTGCACAAGCAGCCGACATGTCAACCTCCTTACACCAAGTACTTTAGTCCAATCAATCGACGGGCAAATCTAAAGTTCACTTAAATCACAAAGAGGAGCAATAAAGTTAGAGAATAAATACGGACAATTCTAAATAACAACGATCAAATCAACATATGATATGCAATCGTTAAGCCTATGATATACAGCCTAGGATAAAAAGGACAATAATTACAAATTTAGTCGAAAATTTCAAATAATTCATAAGATTGTGAACAGATCATTCAACAGGGATGTTTTTCAAACAGTTATTCCGTCACAAGCATGCGACACAATCTAATATTGCCTGAATCAATCGGTTTTGATAACAGTGTACAGTACAGATAAAGTGGATATATATATATATACCAGACGAAAAATATTATGAATCCATTTCAACAAATGATGTCTACTTGATATCATGATTTGTTATATAATGATAAAAACTATGGGAACAAACAAAACAAGAACCAATCGCCAGCCAACAAATATGCAGGAGGAAGTGGAGATGGATGGAAATGAACACTCGCTGAGAAGGCCGCTGGGTGAATCGAGCGCGTCAGGCCATTGCTCGAATGGAACCAGGCCAAAAGGGAAGCGGCGAGTGGGACGTCAGTGCAAGGATGACATGGAGGAGATCGTGTGAAGAAGAGTTGAAAGAGTATGGACTAACATGGATTCAGGTGAAAAGCACAGCAGAAGGAAGATAGAAGTGGTAAGTGAAGACGTTCAGTTGAAGCCGTATGTTCCACTAGGAACCCAAGGGAACAATAATAATGATAAAGCTCTCTGAGTAAGTGGACAAAGATTTATTACTGGTATACATAGGAAATAAACGCTTTCCATAAAAATGTATATGGCTTTAATCAGTTGACGAGTTGAATAGTTTTGTCCTCTAGAACATTTTATAATATGTACCGAAAATTCAATCCAATTAGACAGAAGAAGTTTAACTTTAACCAATTAAATTTTTGAAACTATATGAGTTCTTAAGAAATGCCTTAATGAACATGCTCATAAATTAAACATTTTTGATTGACTGAGATGCTCATCTAGACTAGTTAACAAATGCTGTCTCTCCAAGTGTTTTGTTTCAGTAAAACAATGTAAACTTATTAGTGTTTTCCGTTTTGTTGCACAATATTCTCGTTGACTGACTTTACTAGCATTTCTGACCATCTCAAAGTTGAATGGTTTTTACAAAAAAGAGACTGATGAACCCAGAAATCTCATTATTACATAAACTCACAGTGATTCTTATCAAACCTTTCCCTCCTCTACTTTTTGTGAAGTACGTGAAGTGTAGTAACTTGAATTGATCAAATTGCGAAACTGCGGGTCATCAATGAACAAAGCTTGAAATGGCAGTCACCTCACTATCTAAACTTCATCGACTTTGTGAAGACCTTTGACAGCGTCGGTCGAGAGGTGATTCGGAAACTACTTCGCTACTACCAAGGGGTGCCATCGACAATTATACATCTCATCCAACAGTTGTAAGACAATGTTGTATGCCAAGTAATCCAAAACGAAAAAAACTTACGGAATCCTTCGAAATGAGAACGGGAGTGGTTTTCCTGATTTCAGTAGATTGGATAATGCGACAGACAGCGGCGGGCAATGAGGAAACAGGCATCAAATGGACTCACACAAAAAGAGACTTGGAGGATCTGGACTTCACTGATGATATATGTCTGATTTCTCACAAACTGGAAGATATGGAAGTGAAAAGCAACAAGTTGGCAGAAAATACATCAAAGATGGTGCTTCACTTCAGGCGAACATAGAGAAAACAGAGGTGATGAAGATTCCTGGCCAACAGCAACAACAACGATAACAGACAACAATCAGCCAGCATAAATGGGAGGAGCCAGAAAGAAACAACCTCCTTTACCTACCTCGTCTCAACTACAGGCGGACGGAACTGATGAGGATATCAAAGCCAGATTCGGAAAAGCAAGACAAGCTTTCACTACTCTTATGTCTGTGTGAAGGTCAACAGCACTCAGCATGAAAAAGAATGATCCGGATTTTCAACTCCAATGTGAAGTCAGTGCTACTATTCGGATCAAAGAAATAAAGAGCACCTCAAACAAACTACACACCTTCATTAACAGATATCATCGCTCAATACTAATAAGCATCAGATGGCCAGCTAGAAAAGATCAGCAACAGGAATCTCTGATAATGAGCGAACCAACCAGAAACCGATTGTGCAGCAAATAGCCATGAAGAAACGGAGATGGATTTGCTGGCCATACTCTGAGGAAACTAGTCATCAAGTGACATCACTAGACAAGCCATCGCTCGAGTGGAACCTGAAGGAGAAGCGGCAACTTGGTCGTCAGTGCAAGTGTGACTTGGAGGAGGTGATGGGGAGAGGAGGTGAGGGCATGTGTGCAGACTTGAAGCCAGGTGAAAACTCTAGCAGAGGACCAAACGCAATGGAGACGCGCGGCTGAAGCTCTATGTTCCTCTAGAAATTAAAAGAAATAATGATAAAAACTTGAATTGTTGAACTTCTGTGCAAACTTCTACTTGGAAACTCGGTCTCATGGTCAGCTAAGGGAGGTATTATGCAAACACACGAAACGATAACTGCATCAACATTCAACGCAAAAATATGAATGAGTTGGTTAATTGTTATTGGGAAAAATGATCAAGTCGGCAGTAACAACCGAGGCAACAGCTGATTTTAGGTGAATGCAGACGAAAAGCCGCCATTTTTCAATTACTTCGTCAAAAGAACAAGTACAAGGAAGTTAGAAAGACAGGTATACACTGTCACTTCACGCACTGGCGAAATATTGTTTGTAAAAATTGTTGAAAAGTCCACAAAGACAGATGTGCGTAAACGGTACTCAAAAAGTCCCAGACTAACTGATATAACAATAATTTTGCGCATTGTGTTGGAGTATAATTTCATTATGGGTAAAATGTATTTTGATAAAGTCTCCCAGTGTTATACAGTCATATTCAATGATGACGTTTCGAGAACAATTTAGTTATGCTCATAATCATATCAAGGTACTAGTCGCTCAACTTTCTAACTTTGTTTATGTAATTCCATTGATTTCCATCGCTGAACTCACTCATAGGACGAAGCTGCCCACTGAACAAATTATTTTAGGGATTCAGTTATGCCTCTCATTTACTATCTTTAAGTTCCAAGGCAAAGTATATAGACAAACAGAAGGCATAGCTATGGAATGGATCACCAGTATCCCCTATAGTAGCTGATATATTCATGGACAGCTGGGAAAACATAGCTCTTCATACGTTTAATCTCACTCCAAAGATAATATGGTGGAAATATGTGGATGACACTTTCACGGTGTTAGAAACAGAACATATCTCTAGCTTCTAGATGCATATAAATAAACTAGTGAAGGGAATAAATTAACATTTG